GCGATGGCTTCCACGAGTTACTCGCCGGCTGCTGCGACGAGAGCCGAAAGGCCAGTACGTTCTGATCCAGCCAAAAATTAAACCTGTGGACAGACAAGTCTAGCCAGCGGCCAGCCTCATTCCAGCCGCTGATTGGCAGGCGTGGAGGAAGAGAGAGAGAGACCAGACAGACAGAGGAGAGTCAGCCTCGGCCTTTCAAAGGTCTATCCCCCTCCTACTCCTGTGTGTGTGTGTGTGTACAGTGTCAGGAAAAGTGCCAGGACTTGTTGTGGCCTCTGTCAATGTAGAATTTAAAACAAGACAGAAAGAGAAGAAAGAACAACTTAACTCTGGAGGAACAAGCAGCAGCACGTCTGTAATGACCAAATACGAAACATTCCCAAAGAGGAGACGGAGATATGGAGGGAAAAATACGGAAATAGGAGAGAAATATAAAGATCAGAGAAACAGGAGGAGGAATTGGATGAGAAGGAGGAAGAAACTTCTCTTTCTGGATGACAAGGGAAAGAATGAAGATGAAGATCAGATGTAGAAGAGAATGGAGAAAAGGTAGAACCGACAGGACTAAAGGGAGAGCACAAAAGAAAACCCACACAAACACACACTCAGGTTTACTAACCTTGGAAGGGACCCGTGCTGTCAGCAGATAGGCTCGATGAGACGCCAAGGCCTGAAGACAGAGACAAATGACAAATGAGACAGACACAGGGAGATTCTCACTAAAGAACAGAACTGTTGACTCGAGTCCCAACTTGACTTGGCCTCATGTGCTGTGAGACTCGGTGACCCAGAAATACTGAAAAATATTGCTATTGTGGGTAGTGTTGCCTTTTGGAGCTGTCAGGAATAATCAATAACAGGAGACAAATTAGCCTTTTATTATAAAATAAATGAGTCTATACAAGAGTAGAGTAGTAGTGGTGCTTTTTATCTACACATATCCCCCAGGATACAGTGCGTTTTCAAGAGCCATGAATGAATGACACACATACACACAGACTGAAAGGCGGTGAGGTCAGAAGGTAAAAATAAAACTAAATAAAATGCCATCACTTGTAGAACAGCTGGAGGAGGCCTCTGGAGAGTGTTTTTCACTGAGTGGGATAATACTATATATTATCTCTCACCACGTGTTAAACTTCTGTCCTGGTGGCCGCTCGCTCAGCCAGTGCCACTCTGTTTCTAACTGCCAAAATGAGCTCATTTTCATCACAAGCGTGCGTGGCGTTTGTTGAAGTTATGGTCTGAAATGGTGTGAGTTAAATTGTCGTTTTTCACTGAAATAAGGTCTTAAGAAAGAGGAGGGATGGAAGTATGGCAAGCAGTAACGCACAGGAGGCTGAACCAGCTGTGCAGCAACCCCCTCCACAGAAGACAGAGGTCACTCCAGGTCATATCCACTCAACGAAAGCAGCCAATGAGATACGAGGTCCTCTCTGACTGAGTCTTAGTGGAAAAGCTGTGAACGTATACCTGTATTAAAAGATCTGACAATCTGAACAACCTGTTTTCAGTTTATAAAGTCTGGAGTTCCTGGTTCAGGTGTTGCACAGATGTGAGTGAGTGGGCAGGTGAATGGGTACACATAGGCAGACTACATAATAGAAAACAGATGGGTAACTGAGAAATCTGGACCATGATGCACTGCTGACCGATGTAAAGTGGTAAAAGGGCAGATTTTCTTGATTCAGGCGATGTAATAATAACACATAGACCACAGTTTAACAGTTTTTTAAGCCTTCCCTTAAAGGAGTTGGGGTTTACTGCTTATCACTATTTTGTCAAAGACTGGAGCCAGAAAAATGTAGAAAAAGCGAGTGGAGCTTAGGTGGGGCCGCGTGTAACTGCGTCCATTAAGGTCGGCGTGAGAGATGAAATTATCTTGCGGGGTAGGTGGACCTGCGAGGTCTTGCCAGGCTTTAAGCTATGTGCTTGTGTTGAAACCACAGTAGTTAGGATCAATCAACCTCCTATAAGGAACTACTAGCTGCTACGGCGTGGGCTACAGGCGTGGTGTAATGCTACGTGTGTGAGACAATGTGTAACAAAGTAACAACAATGGCGGATGCTAAATAGGGGAGCAGGAGGGGCAGGTTTCACTATTTTATTGACCAAATGGTAAGAATCAACATTCACGTGTGCTGGCTGCCACTTAGATCAGGCTAATAAACGATGGCAAAAAGGGCCACGTCATGATAAATCCTTTAACTTTAAGGCAGATGGGTTTGCTCATTTTTGGCTCAGACACACTTTGCCTTCCTCTGACACACTCAGTGGTTTATTTTTCTTGTGACGTGGTTCAAAAAACAATCTGTGCTGCATTTTCTTTAAAGAAATGAAAACAAATCTGCTTGACACATTACCATGAAGCATTTAGTGTGTTTTACCTCATTTCAAGAAATTACAGCATGGGTTTCTAATATGCTGGTCTACAGCTGTGGAATGTGGTGTGTGTATGCCCCAGCCTGTGTGTGTGTGTGTGTGTGTTCAGTCAAGTCCTGACAGGAGTTGCAGTCACATTCTGCAGAGCTGTGGTATTTGGTCAGAGGAAAATATAAAATGGGTTTCATTTGCAGTTCCTGGGTCAAGGTTGACAGAATGGTTGAGTGTGTGTGTACACAGAAGGTCCCGAGGTCAACTCCAGGTATCTATAATGATTTTTTACAAGTTTTATACGCACACTGACACACAGAGAGCTGAGGTGAGTTCACATACCTGCAGTTACATGAAACCAGATACCCTGCCACAGAAACACCCACCTCTTTGTTAACTTTGTACCTCTGCATTGCAGTGTCTTTGAACAACTCATACAAGAGATACATAAACAATTATATATTCAGTTATATCTGTATTATTGTCTTAAAATCATACTAAAACTTTTATTCTGACAGGATGACCCTGAACAGTCCAGGGATCAGCCCACACTTCCTGATTCAGTAGACAGCAGGTCTTACATAGTTTATGTCGTCTATGATTCATAAGCTATAGAACACTGAGGATAGATAAAGTTGCAGCATGAGTAAGAGGTCTGGCCAAGAACTGTTAAGAAATCTCATTGTGAATCTCTGTCCACAAACTACTTCAGGTCTGGGGCTGTTATCTGTGCTGTGGGCTGGGCTCCTTAGTTCAAACCAAGGCATATTTTAGATAACAGCGTGCTTTTAGCTTTGTGGCAAGAATTTGGGGAAGGCTCTTCTCTGTTTCAACATGACAATGTCTCCGTGCACAAAGCCAGGTCCATAAGGAAGTGGCTTTCCCAGTTTGGTGTGGAAGAACTTGACTGACCTGCACAGAGCCCTGACCTCAACCCTATCCAACACCTCTGGAACTGGAAGGTCGACTGTTAGCCAGGGGCCTGTTTCACCAAATCTGCAACATTTATGTCCAGATTCTTTCTTCTCATGTTGATTTTTACTATTTCAAACAAATGCTACACTTTTGACTTTTGATCTGCGTTCAGGGTCCAATTTTAACACCCACCAAGGGCCAAATGTGGGTACATTTTGGTAAATATTGACAACGAATCAGAGCGTAGGGCCAGGTTTACATTGCTGTGTTTTTTATGTGTACTGGCTGAGACTAATGTGACTTCACTGTCCACCGTTCACAGGCGTGAGTGAATCAAATCAAAGCAGCCCTCTATTACTCGGTGCTATCTACACAATGTCTATTGTATGTGTGCTATATGCCGTAAGACACGTCTGCATTATATGTTACTAGACATGTGGTGACACATTCCTGGTATTAAGCCACCAAAAAGAAAAAATGAAGTTGAAGAGAAAAGTCACAGAGTGGCGTTACGCAGGAGGCCCGAGGTCCTGGCTAAAATCTATGGCTTAAGACATATTTTGAATCAAATAATGCATGATGCAATTTTATGGCCAGTAAGAAATATCTAGTTTGTCTGCCATTGACACATTTTGTCCCGTCTGCATTTAAACAGCGTCCCCAGGCCTCAACCAGTGGCCGACCACACTGATGCTCTTGTTGCTGAATGGGAGAAAACACCTGCGGCCAGGTTCCAAACTCTTGTGAGGAAGACGGTGAAAACGCTGAAAATGTGCGTCAGTTTGCCCAGTTGTTCTGTGAAGCTCTGTATCTGTACAGCTGCAGAGGAAAACAGGGAAGCAGTGGTCTGACACACAAAGACAGACACCATCAGATCATGACTCACAGCAGCAGCTCCTCTCAGACGGAGCTACTGTAGCCGCAGTCATTCAAAATATTTAACAACCACATGTAGCCTTTCTGCGGGTGGACCAAACCCTCAGTACCCTCAGTGCTTAGCTCAATAGAAGTCACAGGCAACATACTGACTGAAAGAGTCAGTACTGGTGTCCTTCTGCAGAAAACAACACGGGGTTATTTCAATGAGAGCAGGGATGGCATCAAAGGGGCATTACACATACGGCAGGCACATACAGGCAAGCACACGAAACAGGTGGAATACCTTGAAGAGTGTCAGAGTAGCTTTCTAGGTATTAAAAGCTGCCTCAGAGAATTATATCCTGTCCTGTGATGTCCTGTTGCTGATAAACCTTCACTTCCTGGTTCATGTTTTATCTTCCCACCTTTACCTGTAGCAACACACCCACACAACTGCAGCATCTTGGATTTTCTCCCTTTAAGCAATAAGATGATTCATGTAATGAATCAACCAGCCACTTTCTTGTGGAAGCTGGGCAGCTATTCTGAAGGCTAGCTAACCATTTCTAACACTGGAGGGGTTAGGGTTAGGGTTAGGGTTTGGCTAGTGACGTTTCAGATTCATTTTACTGTACTGACCAACAAACCTTTAGGAGGAGTTATAATTCACACATATATTCTGTACTGTCAGTATCTAGAACAGATCTGAACAGCTGTCACTTACCAGCACTCTGTTCTCCACCTTGTCACCTTTGACCTCCAGCTGGACTTTGCGCCTCAGGGTCAGCTTCACCGTCCGGCCCACCGCCTCCCGCACGCTCTCTGCAACAGACAGGGGGTCGGGAACAAGGTTACACGACACCTGACAATTAACGGCACAACAGCTGGACGGATCCAATTACCACACATTACACAATGGGTACAGTACTCAGCGAGCTGTACCAGACACAGGACTGGTCGCCACACCTCTTACGCCTACAAAAGGGGGTTAATTAAAGAGATAATGATGTGATGTGGTGTTTCTTGGTGCCTTAACATGGGGTTATGTTTACTATGTTCATATGAGTCAATATAAACAACCAACTGCTGCACTGTTCATAGTTTCAATTATTGGAATTCTTTCTGACTGCTCTTAGCGTACAATGCTAGAGCTCACCGGAGGTCAGCAGGTCACTCACTCCACACCTTTTTTGTTTCTCAGCATGGTCTACATGAATCAGTTTCCATTATTAAAGTGAGAACATCAAAATTCTTTTGACATTCTTATCTAATAGAACTTTTTGAACTAATTTGAGGGGTTGCTAAATGTAGCCACTCATTTACTTGATTGAGCTAAATGGATGGAGCTGATGATAGAATTAGGGAGTAGTCCTTCTCATCTCTCTGAGTTACACCCAGCACAGTACCGATCAGGCAAATGGTGTCGGGTAAAGACAAAGTTTATGAGCTGTAGTGCAGGCGAGCATTTCAATTCTCCTGGAATCCTAGTTTGGTGGTGTTGAAATATGTGGGCTAAATCCCAACTATCTATCGCACAGTGTGTCACATGATTGAGAGCTATGTGGATAAAACAGGTTTTTTTTCAAAGGCACATTAAGTTTTCAAAAAACTTTAGTTCAGACATCTCACATCTGAAATGTTTACTGCAGCAGTACAACAGAGTTAGATTCTGGCGTCTGGGCTCTGACCTCATCACTCCCCGCACTTTACGTAGAGATACTGGAAAGTGATGAGCGGACACCTACAAGGGAGAGCTGGGAAATGTTGCAGCTTTAAATAGACCGCCAGATTGAAAGGGTGTGTTTGATTTGTGATTATGGAGAGTGAGGCATGTCAAGTGTGCAGCTCGAGTTGACTGCCTCAACTAGCTTGCAGGCATCGCTCCATTGTTTGTTGGTATTTGATAAATCACTAATAAATAGAACAATGTGTCTTGACCAACAAGTAGATCTCTGTCCTAACCAATTAATGTTCAACCCTAAACTGTTTAATGAAAAGCATGATCATTTACAGTATTGTTGTTCTAGGTTTGCGTTATTCACTGGTAGGCAAATAAAGGTCAGTTAACTTCTACTGTACATTCACTTTAAGTTGGTCAAAACATGTTCCTTTGTTTTCCCTCTCTTCAAGTGTTTAATGATACTTGTTTTTAATATTGAAAATGTGTTGGAATACTCGTGTAGGCGGAAAAATAAGATTTGAATGAACCTACTGATGTTGATTACATTGACTTAGACATTATTTGCTCACAGCATGTTCTCCATTGGACCTCCACCCTGCAGCCAGGTGTGGTTCCTCTGTGGTCTGACATAAACTGTAAAGCCTATATATCATAGAGTTAATGTAGTGTGAAAGGTATAGTCTACTGTCCACAGTGTCCTTCCATTTAAAGCAATCAAGACAAACCATTCTACATTATGTATTTTTGCGCCAAGAGAGATTTGGATCTTCTTGCGTTAATTTGGCTCCATCTTAACTCTGAGAAAAAGGTCTGGTGATCTTTTTAACAGTGGTGGGAAATCCCAGGGACAGATGGAGGAGGAGGAGGAGGAGGAGGAGGAGGGTGAAGAAGTAAGAGTTACGAGAATTAAGCAACAGCAAGAGAGGAAGGGAGCATGAGAGGGAGAGGAGTTAAAGGAAGAGACGGAACACAAGACGGCATTCAAATAGAGGAGGTAAACTGCACAAACAAAGAGTGCAAGAGTGTTAATGAGTATGAGAGCTTGAGCCAGCCTTCATGACATAATGCTGCCCTCCTCCTCCTCTCTGCGGCCCAGACACATGATGAGGTCATGTAAAGGATGAAAACATTACAGCACGGAGCAGCGTGTGGGTTGATCAGAACCACATGGACCTCTCCCTCCGTCCAACTCAATAAAAACAAGGAGTTCCCAGACGACTAATTACTTCATAGTTATAATAACCTGCGACAAGTCTGTTCCCCCTTTCTGTACAACACTTTCCACTTGCTACAACTCGGCAACATGTTCAAAATCAGTGTTTAAATGGCCGTGTCAATCCGCCACACGGGACTAGAATTCCAGCTACTGTGGGTTTAAATGTCATTCTCAACAGAAAGGGTCCAAAGGGTCTTTGGCTAATCTGTCAATGGCAGGTACACTGAGAAAATTTACCAGCCAAAAATGATTTTACCGGCCATAAAACGGCATCATGCAGTATCTGACTAAAAGAATTACCTCAAGTTTTGAGCCTTTTTTAACCAGAATCTCAGCGCTCCTGTATGGTTCTCTAATGACATGTTAAGCAGATGTTTCTTACAGCAGAATCACAGACTTTGTGTAGAAAGCACCAAATAGTAGATTAACTGGTTTGATTAGATTAACTGGATAACTTTTGAGGCTTTGGACTGTTACTCAACAAAGGTGTGGACCTGGAGTCTGTCTTCAGACTTCAGACTTGACTTGAAGTCAGTTATTAAAAATGTCAAATATTTTCTGATTCTAGCTTCTCAAATGTCTGGATGTTCTGCCTTTCTTTGTCCTATGTCAGTAAACTTAATCTGTGTGGGTTTTTGACTTTTAGTCACACAAAATAAGTCATCTGAGGACATCTCCTTGAGCTCTGGGAGTTCCTGATGAGCCTGTTTCACTATATTTTGATATCTTATAGATAGAGAAACAATGAATCCAGATCATTAGTTAAGGTAATTGTAAACTAGGAAGCTTAAATGTGTCACCATGGGCCCTTGGAGCTGGTATTTATGTGTATATCATCACAGCTGGTGATTAATTCACTTTGCTTTGGCGTTACACTGATATAAGTGTGCTATCTTCCAAAGGTCAGATTCAAAGCCACACGCCTCTCTCGCCGTCTCCACTTTTCATTACCAGCTCCTCTGAGCGCTGATAAACTCTTCTTTGACTTTCCAAATGCTGCTGATGAGCAGCGTCAGGTCAGTCTGTCCTTTCAAAACCAACAGCAGGAGCTGGCAACAAAAAGGCCCATTCATCAGTCAGTGCAGTGACATACAGCGTGAGATTGGGCTGCAGACACCGTAACAGAGAGCACGGGGTTGTGAGTCAGCCTCACCACCCAGCGCTGGCTTTGCTTTTCATTCCTAATGACAGCCCAATGAGAAGAACACAGCTCTCCTGGCACTTTTCTTTTACCTTCAGGGGAGTTTTTAGGGTATTTCCATTACACAGGTACATTACCTTACTGCCATTGCTATTTGTGCACTTTGGGCCATTCAAATACTCAAATATCAAGACACTGGCCCAAAAAACAAGATGCCCGACCAAAAAAAGCCCCTCCAAAAGTCAATGGAGGCCAAACTCCAGCTAGCTTTAACTTACCAAGACAGCGCAGACTGTCATGTTTAATTCATAGTCAACAGTTTAGGCTACTTTCTCCAGCATAATTGCAGTGGTTTACAGTGTTTTCCTCCCTTTCTTTTTGACACTCAGTCATCCGGGCAGCCTGTGTTGATAATATCTCACAATCCAAAGGAATTTGGCAGGACACACCCCTCTCTCCCAAAGCTTTCTCTCTCCCCCACTGCAGATAAGGAAGTGGCAGAGCAGGAGGAACTCTCAGGTAGCCAGCCTAGCCCTCAGGCCATGAAAACAGCCCTTCACTGGAATCAGCCAGGACAGTGAGTCTGCTGCTCAAAGGTTAATGCACATACAGGTTTTACTGACACTCTGTGGTACTGGTATCACTCTTCTACAACATTCCCATGAAACCTTGTTCTCTTTTAGTAAATTAGTGATTTATGAGGAGTTTAGGGCGTTTTAACCTCCAATGTGTCTGTATTCCTATCTGTACAGTAAAGAAGAATTAACCTTATGAGGACTCTATTCCTAAAGTGATTTATGGTTTAATAGTGATGCTTTTAATGATCATATCTCATGATACAGGTTACAGTGCTGCTATAATATCCTTACAGTGATTTATTAAAGAGTTTCTGTGAAGTTTTCAGTCCATTTCACCTGCGATACAATGCAACAGTTGACCTAACCTGTTCACTACTAACTCAGTGTGCTGAGACTAACAGTTAATAACTAAAGTTATCTCACCGAACAGTTCGTTGGGAATGTTTGTTTTGTCCCCCGACATTTCTTCTGCCGAGGTGAACACCGAGGAGGAGTCCGGTGGGAGGGCGAGGCGGAGCGGGTCAACCCCGGGGAGAGTAGCGGCTGGTTGCAGCGGAGGAACGGAGAGAGAGCTACGGTGGAGGTGTTCCGTTGTGTGTCGGTTAACTCTGGGTCACCTGTCCGTCTGGACCCATTCCAACACTGTGCGCACACACACGGCACGGAAGCGACAAAGACACACACACACACACTGGGATTAAAAGTGCTTTCAGGGTGAAACACGGATCCAAAAGCGGAGACAGTCGGTGTGTGTATGACAACAAACCCTGTACGCACATTGCTCCACTCACACACTCCGCAGTAATCCCTCCTTTCTTTCAGATGGACAGCACAAAAAAAAGTTTGTTTTGATGCTAAGGATGGGAGAACTGCGACACCTGGTGGCCATTTACACGTACAGCAGCTTACTGTCACTGTGGTGTGCACTGGTGGAATGTAACGAAGTACATTTACTCAAGTACTCTACTTAATGACAAGTTTAAGTATTCATTCATTTTTTTTGCTACTTTATAATCTTCTCAAAGGTAAATTGTGCATGTTGTCCTCATTATGGATACAGAATATGGATTTTATTCAGCTGATACTAATAAACTAATAATTAGCTGCTTCTCTCCACCAATAAATAACCGATAATGTCACATTTTTGGATTTTAAAAATAAGTAACCTGTAGTTTATGCACACCTGAGGTTAAGACCGGCTGAGATGTGTTGAGCAACAATGGGTGATTTAATATTTCATATCTCTGTAACCAAATCTAAATGACACCACATCATTATTGTAAACACAACAGAAACATACAGCAGTTCTGATTCTTCACAGGTTTATTATTTTCTCTTACAAAGTACAAAACACACGTTGGCTTCCACAGAACATAAATAAAAACACACACATATATATCAAACAATTTGTTTAAGAATAAAAAAAAAAATTGCATCCCTGACATTTATTTAACAGCTTTATTTAGTGACCCTTATTATGATTTTATGTAAACAAAACAACATTTATAACAACAGTAAGAAATAACTGACACACACACACACACACACACACACACACACACACAGCTCCTGGTAGCCTCCTGCCACTCTCCCTTCATCTCTCCATCGCCTGGCGGAGCCCCATCCACTCATCCTCCTTATCTCGGTTTTTTGTAATGAAGTCTTTTATTGATCATCATGGACACTGACCTCTGACCTCACGCTTGTAAGACTAAGTTTACTACCGCTGAAAGTGTCTAGTGTCTAGTTTTTGTTGACCTCCAGTGGTGGGTTCGAGGACCACACCCAGCCAGCGGTGAAGTGAAACCAAAGCCGGTCCGCTTTGGGCAATGTGTGCACATCTGTCAGTGAACAATAACCAGCAAGTATCCAGTCGAGCCACAGTGTAAATAGTGTTTTATATCTGAAAATGTATAAAGGAAAACCTGGGGGAGCCAGAATGGGCCTGCAGACTCCTGTTCACATTGTATGGACAAAGTTCATTTTATACTATTGTGAGGACTAAACCTCAGTTTTTATTATTACGGTATTACATTCATATATTCACATAATATTTTATAGCAAATATTCTGCAGAATAAATATGATTTGTTCATTCTGAGGCTGCTCTGATCCGGATCCAAACTGTTGCTCCGTGCCTGTAAAACATCCACCAGGTAACGGCTGCCTCTCTCTTTCTCTGCTTTCATGCATTATGCAAACACAGACACGGCACTCATTAAGGGTCTGTTACCATCACAGACGTCTGTGCAGGCCGAGGTCAGACGGATGCTGCTCTGTCCCTTCATCAGTCAGAGCTTTCTGAGGAATCACATGCTTCGTCATACTTATGGTGTTTACGGAAGTTATTCCTTTGTTTCGTCATCAGACACTATAGTTTTGTTCATCATGTCAGACATGCAGTATTCTCCGACTACAACCCTCTGGTAGTAGTCCCGTGTGTTATTATATCATAATTATAGTTGTATAACTGAGGTCTGCTTATGTGAACTTTTGTAGATATTTGAAGTAATTTTTTTAGGTGGAATTTAAAGCAGACCTAATATATTATAAAGTGTGTTATATTGAGTTCAGCCATCCAACATCTAACTCTCACTACACAATTCACCTTCAGTACTCAGTACTATGGAGCTATTATTGTAGCAAATGTGTGTGGAGGGTTGTGTAACTATCTCATTCTGTGTGTGCGTAATCAGATCTGTGAATGTGTAAAACAAATCTACACATCTGTATTCAGTTCTGCAAGTGTAAGGATATTTGTACACATGTGGACAAATCTGTAAGTGCTGACATATTAATGGCTGAAAAGTATTTGCTGAAAGAGCTGGAGATACAGACAAATCATCGGTTACAACTCAGGCGGGACTCTCAATTGGCTCTTTTTACGCGTGACTTTTGCTTCACTTCTACCGTGGTAGATCTGTAAATGCGTGTGGAGATCTGTGTGTGTGTGTGTGTGTGTGTGTGTGTGTGTGTGGAGATCTGCGCGTGGAGATCTGTGCGTGTGTGTGTGTGTGGTGATCTGTGTGCCTCAGCAGCTGTACAGCCTACAGACCAGCAGTCGGCGGTAGAGAGACATTGCTGCAGTGTCTCCTCTTTGTTTAACCTACTTTTGATGAAACCAGGAAAAAAACCATATGGGGAACTTAAATGACTTAATTTACCGTTCATCAGACCACAAATGAGTCAGAATAAGGTTGGAAAATGCTGGATGAAAACAGACTGTTTCTGGCGACCGGCCTCACTGATTACTGTACAAACCCTATATATACTGTCAATGATACAAACACACAACTTTAAACTCTATTCACTGATTTGGTGAAAGTGGATGATATTTCATGGAGAAATGATGATCTGGTTTTCCCTCTGATGTCCTCCAGCTGCTCTGCTTCATCTCTCAGTGATTAGTTCACTGATGGACAGATAACATTATCTTTATTGTAATGTCCTTACACTTGCAAAACTGAATACATATTTAATTTTTTTTTTTTTTTTTACACATTCACAGATCTGATTACGCACACACAGATTAGGATACAGTTACACAACTCTCCACACACATTTGTAAATAGTTTTGGTACAATAATAGCTCCACAGAGTACTGTATAATTTGCAGTACTCAAAATTATGGATAATAACTGTCCTCAATAGTAAATACAGTCTTATTTCAATACTTAGCAGATAGATACTTAGTAGCAGATTGCAACCAACTAAAACCCCCTGACTCAACCAAGCATGACGGAGAAACTACAGTGGCTGTGAAATACCAGAAAAAAGCACTTTCTAGAGCCAGTGATTGGTTTGTCTTTCTTAAAAAGTCCCCAAACAAACAAAAACTTATCTCATTAGAATAATGTGAAAAATGACACTTGAGATGCCGGGCTGCTGCAAGGAATTCTGGACGCCCAACACAGAACCAATAATTGACCATTGATCACATGCTGAGGTCTGCTGATGTTGGTTTATAAAACAACTGACTGCTGACATCTTGTGGGGAAAAAAATACTGTTTAGTTCATCATAAATAAATGAAATTGATGTTCTAAAGGTGCCACAAAACACATATTTTGATTTTTTTTGTATCCTCAATGATCAGAATATTTACGGTAGGTTTATAGGTGATCAGTACCCTACCCTACCCTACCCTAACCCTAACCCTAACCCAGTGTCTGAAAGGTTATTTGAGGCACATATGGGAAGCTTAGTTGCTGCAGATGAGAAGTAGTTTGAATTTGATCTGAAATTAAATGAAAATGAGTTCATGAGTAAGATGTTAAATGACGTTAAGTCAGGATGAAATCTGGATTTACCTCTCTCAACTGTATCTTATCACTAAAAATAAACATTTAAAACTAGTCCAACCAGAATTTAGGCCTGCTTCCTGGAAAAACACCTGAGCTCAGGGTTGGAGATGAATGATAGCATGGAGTAGAATTAAAGTTGTGAAATAAGAAATGAGCTGTAGAAATAGAAATATAGTATAGTATAGTATAGTATAGTATAGTATAGCTAGTATAGTTGTGTCATGTTGAACATGTTGCGTGCAGATGTATACAGCTGTCAATTCATTATTTACTAATGAATGCATTTTAATACGTAATATACAGTGTTGTTAAGAATAGTAAATCATATTACATAAATGAGGCTACATAATTTTTTTTAAGTTATTTTTGTGGCCTTTTATTGCCTTTATCGATAAAAACAGCTGGAGATAGACAGGAAAGGTGGGTAGAGAGAGAGGAGATGACACGCAGCAAAGGGCTGCAGGTCAGATTCGAACCCAGGTCACTGCAGCAACTCCATATATTGGTTGCCAGCTCTACCAACTGAGCTAACCAGGTGCCCACAGGCCACATTAAGGCTTTAAAAGGTTTTAAATAGACCCAGTGATTGGTGATCAGTATCGGCTGATAAAGCTTCTAGTGATTGGCCTCAAAAACCCTGATTGGAGCACCCTTAGTAACAACGTTCATAACTTTGTGGTTGACGTTAAAGTTTGTGTACCGTTCTCTGTACTGTGACTAAATGTGGTAGTGTAAAACAACTACAGCTACATGGGATGCTACATACAAAAACATACAAATAGGCTATATAACCACATATGTACACATTTTCACATTTGTAAAACGTCTTGTTCAAAGCCAATATTGAATAACATACAATCATACAGATTATTGATTGTAGCTCAGCATTGAATACACTGCAGCCTCACCAGCTGGGTGTTAATCCTTAGGTTAATCCTAAAATGGTGTTTTTCTTTTTTAACCAATCATGCTCAGCAGGTTCAACAATGCCCTCTCAGAACCCAGACAAATCAGCACTGGTGCCCCTCAGGGTTGTGTCAGCTCCCCAGTCCTCTTCAACAATACACAAATGAGTGCACGAGAATCCAACATGAGAACTTTATCATTAAGCTCTCAGATGATACAGTCATCCTGGGACTAATGCACAGAGACAGCAGTTCATCAGCTTACCACAAGGTTAAGAAGACAGGCACTCAACATCTATTGTGTTTCTGCCACAGTGGATCCATGCAAGTGCCTGCGCTGCACGGTATGTAACCAGAACCAGGTGGAGAAGGCTGTGTGCTTAAAACACTTAGCTGGAGGGCCCATGTCTTTACTCCAGATTGCAACAGCTGATGTATTTTTTAAGGAGTTGAGCAGAAGTTTTCTTTTTTACCATCCAAACCTGGAGAACATCATTAGATATGGAATAACAGCCTGGTATGTTGAGCCCTGGAAGTACATCTGCAAGTGCCTGCGCTGC